AGCTGAATTTACATTTTTCTTCTTGACATAAGGACTTAATTATACATCTAAGGATGGGTTCCATTTCAAGTTATAAGCACCACTCTTCTTTGAGAGTAGTAAGAAGTACTGCCTCAGGCAAACAGCATCCCTGATCAGCTTCCAGTAGCGAGAGACATTGTTCCCGCACATTTATCTTTGCTAGCAGACAGGAAAGAGTCAAAAATTCTCCCTACAATGCCCAGAAGTACTCAAGAAAGCATTAGGAAGATCAGACTTCTGCATTCCAAGGAGAACAGGATTGCAACTGCAGCATTTTGTGGTGTAAGGATGAAGGAGTGAGGAGAACTTAAGCACAACTCTTTCTGCAGATTTCACAAGTCATGTCCAATTCCGATTTTTTTCACCTGATCCCCGCTTCATGCTCCCTAGCTAAAATACCAGCAAGTCTATGTGGCACCAACTTAAAACCATAGCCTCCCTCCAGCTTTGAGACCTCACACAGGCAGGTCAGGCTCCAGGGCAGGAGAGGGGGAAAGCACCATGCAGCAGCCACGGTGGCAGCCTCCCCTGATGCATACACAGCGGTTGTACCAGAAGGTATACAAACACCTGCCGCAGTCTCTGCCACATTTTGGTCCCATCACATAAAAACACAAGAATGACAATATTGGATCAAACTAATAATTCCTAATAGTCTAGTTGCCTTTTTTTTTTTTGACTGCTACTGTGCTTTGAGCTAGCATTTGCTTAGAATGAAGTGTTATAATTTTAAGCTGTCTCTCATGCCGTATGTAATTCAGTGTCCTTGGTTCTAACGTGGAAAATTAAGATTGGTTTTCCCAAGTACATTTATCTGCATTGAATCTCACATGCCATTTTATCACTCCATCATGCAGTATCATGAAGTCTTTCTACAGCTCTTTGTAACAAGATTTCATTTTTACTATCTTGAATACATCAGTGCAGTGAGCAAACTTTACCACCTTGCTCACATCAGTGCAGTGAGCAAACTTTACCACCTTGCTCATCCCTTTCTTCCAGATCACTTATGTGGATATTAGATGGCAGAGACCCTAGAACAAACTCCTGTGAGACTCCCTTACATAGGAAAGCCAGCAATTCTTTCTCATCTTGTTTTCTATTTGTTGACAATTTTTAAACCTTGATACATGGAAGTTCAATTTCTTTAAACTCATTTGGTGAATGACACCATTCAAAGTCTTTCTGTAAACTCTTGTAGAATACATCAGTGAAATCAAAATTACTTCTTGTTTATTGGCCCTTTCAAAGGCCTCTAATAGGTTTGTAAGGCACCTTGTAGAAGTTGCACAGTCTTTCCCATTGTATCAATCTTACCCACATGCCTACAGCTCTATCCTTTATCATGTAAATTCCACCAAATGACTTCATGCAGAAGCCACTTACTAGCCCTACAGTTCCCAATGTTTCTGTTAAAACTCTTCAAAAAAGTGTGTCACGTACACCACCACCTGTTCTCTCAGTACTAACCAAATTGTAAGTAATAGTTTGCACACCATAGTTAGTCAGTGGTTTCATACATGAGTTTCATTAAAACTTTGGTGAACGCAGCCTTGCTCAGGGATCTTATCTTTGCAATTTCTTCTCCCAACAATCCAATTCTAAGAAAGCTCCTTCAAAACACATACAAAGAGTGGCTGTACTGTGGGAACCTCCTTAAGCTCCTTTCCAGTCAACGAGGAAAGATTCAGCTTTCAGCTTTTTTCCCTATATCTTTGTTTTCTTTAGATAATTCTTTTATACCTGTAAAAGGATCAGCTGATTGCGCTGTAAGTTCTCCAGCAGACTTCCTCCCTGTGATGTATTTGTACAAGGATTCTTAGTAGTTTCTATTTCTTTGAAAACTCATTCCTCATAATCATTTTGACCTGCCTTACTGTGTTTTTATATCCAATTTGTGAGTGTAAGAGTTTTATCTTACTCTCAATAAATCATTTTACCCAGATTTTGGGTACACTGGTTCGTTTTAATTGCTCTAGAATCCAGCTGATAAGTGATAGGCATTTGCCCTACAATTCTAGTACAATTTTTGTTAAGAGTCCATGCCACTTTCAAGCATTTTACCCATTTGGCTGAGCCCTTCCATTTCTTTGTGAAAAGCTTTATCATTCTATATAATTCCCCTTTTTGAAATTAAACACACCATTTACTACTAGGTTTTTTTCTGTTCTTCCACAAATGCTAAATTTCAGTACTTTACGGCCACTCTTAGACTAGCCTAGTCAGTAGTAACGTTCTGAAACATACTGCTCAGAAGGTCAAAATTAGCTCTCATCTTCTGCAGCCCATGAATCATTTCTTTATTGTGTCTACAGAGTGCTGGGCCACTCTCAGCACACTACCCAAGCCTGATGAGCTCTCAACTCAAAGTGTAGAAGGGTAACCAAAATCTTCCCCATAATTCTGTTTTTGTCACCACAGCCCTCCCAATCTTCCTTGCTATGTCACCACTCCTACGAGTCTAGCATCATATTTTGCTACCGAGAGATGGAATTTCAGTTCAGTTTAAAATAGGTGTTGACAAAAACCAACTTACTTGTATGATATGACTTTAAGGGGACTCAGGTAGGGGTAGTTTGTTTGGGTTTGGGGATTTGTTTTATTTTACAAACTGCAACTAACACAAAATATGCTGTTGCTCTTAAAGAATTTGTGTACAAAGACCAGTTGATTGTTTTCTTTCCACCAATTTCTGGTATGTTTTATGTCTCTTTAAAACCAAGCAGTCCAGTTCTCTTTTCCTATTTATTTACATTTAAAACACCTATAAAAAAGCATGAATACTTAGTTCAGCTGCCTATTTGCCTAATGAGTTTTATTAACTGTCCCATCTTTGAGGTTTTTACAACTTCACTAACAAGAGGATATACCATGCCAAATCCTGTAATCTTGCACACATCACTTTTGCCCCTAGTCCTAGTTTAAACAATAGGGTCCTAATGCACAGTTGGGTTGTATGTTCTGATGGGAGGCATGCACACCTCAGCCGTAAGGCCTGCCAATCTCCTGCTCTCTCTCATGCATGGATTAAGACGACATGATCCCAGATCTGCAAAATCTTCAAACTGTTACATTTCTAGTTCAGTAAACACAACATTAGTCAACAAAAACAACTACTAAACATACAGAAAATAATGTCATTCAATTAAATTACAAGTTCTCTGCTTTGTTATTATTATTTAAAAATGTATGTGTAAAATAAAGCACTAAATCTGCCCACCTTGGGAAGGTCTTTACCTTTGCTCTCAACATCAACTGAATTAACTTTTTTCTTTCAGAGACAAGTATTTAACAAAACTAATGCACAATTCTTATTTCTTTAGAAATTGTTCTCTTGTTCGTTCATTAGGCTACAAAGACATTTTTAGCTACAGCACAATCTGTAACTTCGAATAAGTAACAAAAAAACCATTTAGGAAATATGACAACTATCTAAAAAGACTAAGGCAAAACTGAGATTTTTAAACATCAGATAGCATTGACTTTCAGGGGCTACATTATAAGAATCTTACTACAGAAAAAAAAAGAAATTAGAAGAAACATATAATATATGAGATTATTTAATCATCGTAACAAATGGTATCTTCCTGTATTTTTTCCCCATTGTTGGCCAACTTACTTGTAAGAAGAGGTTATTCTAATCAAATCTGTTACAAGAATACTGCTGATTGTTGCTATCTTAAGAACAAGGTTTCAAACTTTAGATGGTAAAAGATGCATGGAGACAGCTAATCTCCAACTCCACCCTCCCCTACTGTTTATCTCTAAAATTGCTATGGAACTTAAATATTTTAAACTGGGATCATTATGATCACGTACCCTAATAAATATGGTAAGTAGAATGTTTTGGATCAATAAAAGCACACCGAAAACAATTTTAAGATTGAATCTGTTTCTCTGTGAATAAATAAATATGCAGTTAGGCATTGCTTTTCAGCTGAGATTTTGTTGTGCTCAAATGTGTTACTGTCTTCAGGGTCACTGGAGTAGTTTTCAATCTACTTGTCACGTTATTTCTAAACTGCAGCAATGTCGAAGTAAAGACAAAAGAAAACAAGAAAGGAATATATTATTATTGTATATACTTTTGACCATTGTCGATATTTTCTTTCAGTAAGTTAATGTAGAACGCTTAAAACTTTTTACAATGATTTAAAGTAGAAAATGTCTCACCCAACCCTAAATACGAGTCTTATGAACTTAAGTGTTTTTATGCTTATAAACTGTACCTTTAATCCCACCATTACCGGAAAACAAAGAATACTATACTTTCAGAACAGTTTTCTAAGTAATCTGCTGTAAAGGGGCTTAAAGGAGTACATAGGGTCATCACATATCCTAGCAGTTGCAGATCTGAGGATAGGGAAAGGACTAATATTTATATCGTTTGGTAATATTTTAGAAAGACATAGAGTGGGGGGGGGGGGGGGGGGGGAAGTTAACGCAGCCAAATAGAAAAGTGTACGTGCTACAAATGGATATATCGAGTCATTGAAGAGTTCTCAAGTCATTTTAAGGCTCAGTGGAGATGGAAAAATTGAACTGGCTTCATACTATCATATTGTCTATACACTAAATTACATCATCTTAATCTTCGTAACAACAAAAATTAGAAAACCTTGTTACAAGGGAATATAAACATTCACAGTAAAACGTATTTACACTTCACTGTACGCTAACTTCCATTTGAAATTCACTTCTACTTTAGGCCGTGCTGGAACTTCTTGAATAATTTTTAACCTTAAAGAAAAAATGCTACTACCTCACTACTCAAAAAGGGCACACCTACTTCACAAGAGTGCAATCTAGTGGGGGAAAAAAACCCACCATGCTTTTATGCAAAGCGTGGTTATCTCCAAGCTAAGGCAACCACCCGAGACAATCTCGTTGAAGAACGGGGCACAGGTAAATTTACACCGTCGCGAAACCGCCCAGCGTAGAGCTACGCATTACGAACTCAAAGGCTACGATACAGGTACCTCTCAAATCACCAGCTCCGCACCGCCTGAACACCTCTCCCGTTCACGCCCCGCCCGCTGGCGGTTAACGAAACGTATTACTGCTTCTTCACGCGTATTTTTGTTACCTCCAGCCCCCTACCCGCCTAACAAACCGAAGAGCCAACCCTCACTCTGCGCAGACGCCGGTAACACGCCTCAGGGGGCAGCGCGGTCCCCTCAGCGCTCCCGCCCCTGCTCCACGCACGCGGCTTGGAGCAGGCGCTGCCAGAGCCGCCCTGCTCAAGCACGTACGAACGCTTCCAGCTGACAGGCCGCTGCGTACGGGACCGGGAACCGCAGCGT